GCAGTCTAGTCACTTCAACGGTCGTGTGCCTGACCGCAACCANAGTTTAAGCCTCTTATACTTTCTGTGTCGGGCTTCGCCTTGTCCGATGTTGCGAACATTCTCATTATCATGATTTTGTATGACTTCTGCTTGTTGCCTGCATAATTTTGTTATGTAATCATATACGTACGGGATTTTGAATGCCATGTGCAAATCGCGGACCGGTGTGCGCCTTGGAAAATTGCCAATCGTGCGGAGAACCTTGTTTTGCAGGCGCTGCAATTTCACTAGATGAGTGTCTGCCGCAAACTCCCAGGCGGGACTAGCATAAGTCATTACGGATCTAATAAGAGTAGCTTTATGGAGGGTCAGTTTAATGTTAGCGCTCAATCGCTCACTTTTGAATAGGGAATATACTCTAATGAATGTTCTGAAGGCGTGTGTGTGTGGTTATTCAGTAAGTTGAAAAGTGACTGAAATATAATGACTTCTCAGTTGCTGTGATAATGGAGTGGAGAAGTAGAGCAGATAATGTAAACAATGGATAATCAAAAAAACTGGAGATACCCACTGTTCATGCTGCTTTTAACCTTGAAAACCACCTAATAATTTTTGCTTTACTGCTATTCAGTAAACAAGGGAGACATAAATTTTGAATAGAAGAAAGCAACCTTTGTTCAGTAGTATGGAACGCTGATAATAAAAAGCAATAACATGAGAAAATATAAATTTTGAAAAGAGTGAGGTGATGCATAGCCTATTGCATATTGCTGTATTACTGAAACAGATGTAATGGGCAGTACTAACATCATCACAGGAGGCCGTAATAGTAACTAAGTTGTTTTAGAAGTCCCGTCATTAATCAGCAAAAGAGATGATGACATGCAGATAATTAAAAGAATCTGCCATTGTAAGAAATGGCCAGCACTGTAAAAGGAGTGAAGTAAGAGGTAATATTTTAAAGCTGGCTTATCTACTTTGTATTATCCATGATTTATGCTAACCGTCTTACAGTGCATACACTTTTTCACCTTACTCTTCACTTTTACACCACATGTTTCGGCACTAATGTGCCATCTTCAGGTGTGTCTCTATCCACGTCAAACTACTGCACTGCATGCCATGATGTCTTCATTATAAAATGACTAAAATCTGTATTCGGCATATATGACGCTATATATATATTTCTGTAGGATTAATTTTAATATCAACTGCCCACCTATATCTATGTCTTCCTAGCAGTCTCTTCGGGTTTTCCTACCAATATCCTGTATGATTCATCTTCTCTCCCATTCATGGTGCATGCCCTTACCATCCCATTCTTGACTTGATCATTCTACTTAAAATTGGCATAAAGTACAAGTTATGAAGCTCCTCATTATTCAGTTTTCCTCAGCCCCCTAGTATTTCATCCTTGTTACTTCCCACTATGGAGCTGAGCCCTTCTTGAGGAGCCGCCAATTCTGCAGCTACTCAAGAATTTCGCAGCATTTTATGGAACCGGAAGGTTCATTACCGAGTTCACAATAGCTCTCCACTGGCCCCTATCCTGAGCCAGATCAGTCCATTTCATACCATACCATCGTATCTCTCTAAGATCCATTTTAATATTGTCCACCCATCTACGTCTTGGTCTTCCTAGTGGTCTCTTTCCGTATGGCTTTCCCAATAATATCCTGTCCTGCCCAACTCACCCTCCTTGACTTGATCATTCGAATTATACTTTGTGAAGATCACAAGTTATGAAGCTCCTCATTATGCCGTTTTCTTCAACCTCCTGTCATTTCATCTCTCTTCAGTCTAAACAGTCTCCTCAACACCCTGTTCTCAAACACCCCCAGTCCTCCCTTAATGTTAGACACCAAGTTTCACACCCATACAGAAACTCAGGCAAAATTATAGTTTTGTACATTAAAACTTTTATGTTTGTAGACAGCAAATGAGAAGACAAAAGGTTCTGAACAGAATGGTCAGAAGGTCCTGTCTGAAGGAGGCGGGTGTAGTGGCATTGGTGCCTTCTTTATTCACTCGTTTCTCTCGTCTCGGTCGATCACTTTCTGGGAGATAATTCTGGCGGTATCCCTTTCGGCAGTGTCTTATAAGATGGCCAACTCCCCCAAACTGCCAGCAAACAAACCTTTCTGCCCTGCTGTACTTGGACCCTGGCCTCATTAGTTTCTTGATTGGCGCCATTTTTTCCTTATTGACCTCCATCGTCTCTCGGTTGTCTTCTGTCTTTGCATTCATCTCTTCTTGATTGTCGTTTATTGGGACCCTCAGGTTTTTAGGCCGGCCCCTATTTCGTCTGATGTTTGTTCCTGAAGGGCATGAAATTCCCGTATGGCGGCCGAGTTATGGTCGGTCGGTTAAATTGCTGCTGGCTCTCGCCGGCACTGTCGTTCCTGGCTTCAGTCTCGTCCAGACCCATGACCAAGAATTTTGTTCTCTCCTAGGCATATACGTGTTTCGAAATGGGGCCTGCTCTTCAACGAAGGAAGAGGTCGGTCGGTCTATGTAGACACTACGTTTGTTGAACCGTACTTTCAGCATGAGTATATACGCATTGTCACGGCGTCAAGGTCACATTTTGTCACTGTACTATACTCAGTAATATTTAAACATACATATATTTTCTGTCTTCAGTCTCGTCCAGACCCATGACCAAGAATTTTGTTCTCTCCTAGGCATATACGTGTTTCGAAATGGGGCCTGCTCTTCAACGAAGGAAGAGGTCGGTCGGTCTATGTAGACACTACGTTTGTTGAACCGTACTTTCAGCATGAGTATATACGCATTGTCACGGCGTCAAGGTCACATTTTGTCACTGTACTATACTCAGTAATATTTAAACAAGATTTACAGAGTTTTTTTTTTGTCAATGCAGCCTTTTGCAGCAGGTATGTCTTAGTTTATTTAATTACTCTGTAACTGCAGTTAGCTGAACGGTCGTAGGCCTGACCGCTGCCAAATTTAAGCCTCTTATACTTCTTATGCATGGCTTCTCCTTGTCTACTACGACGTACATTTGGATTTACTTGGTTTAGGATTACTTCTGCCTGTGTCCTGGGCCATTTAATTATGTAGTCATATACGTAAGGAATTTTGAAAGCCACGTGCAATTCGTGGACTAGTGTGCATCTGTCATGATATCAAACAACGCGATATACTCTGTTCTGCAGGGGCTTCAGTTTCAATAGGTGAGCACTCTCCACATGTTTCGGGGTGGGACAAGCATAAGTCATAACTGACCNTTCTGCCTGTGTCCTGGGCCATTTAATTATGTAGTCATATACGTAACGTAACGTCATAACTGAAATTATCAAAGATTTGTAAAGCATAAGTTTAATATTTGTACTTAAACGCGCACTTCTGAATAGAGAATAGGGTCTTACGTACGTGCTTATGGCCTTGGCTACAGTCCTTTCTATATGGTGTTTCCAGGTAATTCATTCTCCTGTCGAAAGTGATACGCAGATACGTTACATTATCTACAAATGGAATGTCTCGTTCGTTTAGTTGTAGTACGTCGTTAGGGTCTCTAAATTTTCTGCAGAAATAGATCGATAGTGTGTCCCCTTCATTGATCTTTATGTTCCAGCACTCACACCACGAATTCATAGCAGTGAGGCCGCGTTGCACTTAGCAGAGAACACAATATTCATGTTTCTCTGTCGCGTAAATACAGGTATCATCCGCGAAGAGAGCACGACGAGTTCCAGGTGCAGCAAGGGCATCATTTGTATATAGACTGTACAATATTGGGGCAAGGATGAGACCTTGAGGCTTTCTTGGCGTAGAAAATTCGCCTTCTGACACGACATTAAATTTCCTGTCTATGAGAAAATACACAATTAGCTTAATGATACTTGTCGGGAATTCTAGTTACGACAATTTATATGGCAGGCCAGACCGCCATGTTGTGTCGAAGGCTTTCTCGATATCCAAGGACACTGCAACAATCAACATATCGTTGATATTTAGGGTGCCGTAATCCGTCAGCCTCATACATTGAAATGTCTTACTGTTGTTTGCTCGAAAGTCAAACTGACTTCAGATTCAGGGTTGCTTTACGACTGTCGATTTACCACTAATCAGTTCGTCTTGGCGCCAGAACCCTTGAGGATCACGACCAGAGTTTTCTTTTTTCAACTGAACCTATGTGGCCATAGTCTTTGTGTAACATCATCTCTGACGAGAGGATGGGTTTGTCTCATGAACTGGCTTCGCCTTTGTCAAATATACATAAGGCACATATACGTAGCATGGTATTGAATGTCCATCCTTATGCACTGTATACAAGTTCTCTGTCAGTCCAGGCTTTGCAAAGCAGATCATCACTATCTTACGCTCCGACGGCAGATTAGTCACTTGAACGGTCGTAAGCTTGACCGCCACCAAGTGTAAGCCTTTTTTATTTTCTATGTATATCTTTGCCTTGCCCAGTGTTACGAACATGTTCATTCTTGTATTTTTGTAGGACATCATCTTGTTGCCTGCACAATTTTGTTGTATAGTTTTATACATACGGAAGGTTGAAAGCTGTGTGCAAATTACTGATTGGTATGCACCTTGGAATATATTCATGGGTGCGGAGAACCTTGTTTTGCAGGTTGTATAACCTCGTTCCACTGTTTCGTAACTTAGCAGAGCCCTCCCCTCTCCTCTTTACTGATGCTACTGATTTCCCATGTATCCACTCACCTTTCTCTTCCTACTCTTATACAGCTAGGTTTATTCGAACCGACATTAGTCTGTCAGCACGCTGATTCCTCGCTTGCGGATTTTCTTTTTTCTTCTACCCTGAAGATGAAGGTGATACGTTCCACCAAAACGTTGGTTAAAACAATATCTGCACGGCGCCACATCCCAGAAGACAACTTTCTTCTTAGCAACCGACTGTTTATCAAGTCCGAATCAAGTCTGTTGCCCAACAACGGGTTGACATGTCACACTACCGTTTGTGTCTAAAAATTGCAATGTTGTTATGCAGCGCGGAAAGTGGTAGATTAAGGAACTATTGCCTGATGACCGTAAGCATGCCGGTGGGGGAAACATGTTGTGCTACGAGTTATGTGCGCGCTGTACATTTTGTCCGTTTTCTTTTTCTGATCTCGTGACACGTGTGCGGTAACATAAACGGTGTTGTATTTGTTATTTGAGGTGAAGGACGTACAGGTATTATGACAGAAGCCAGCAACATTCAAATTACCTTATTTGGGCGCTGATATCAACTTAAAATGGATTCAGGAAGGTGATGTAATGTGTTATTGTTCTGTCACGCTTCCCTCTTCTTCCTACTGGTCAAATTTAACGGAATTTTGTGGTGGTAGGAAAGACTTGGCCTGAGGGTTTATCAAAAGCAACAGGTCAACATAACTGAGCGTGTGTATGTTCTAACATTTATCTTTCATTTAAAAGTGCTGCAGGTTAGCTCAAAGACCAGGGATAGCCCATCCGGTATAGCAGCTGGGGTTCGATTCCTGGCGTGGAGGCCACCCAACCTCCTGTCCGGTGGGTATTGGGATTAAGGCAGCTAGAGCGTGAAGCTGACACCTTACATCCCTCAAGTGCCGAGATCGAGAGTGATGGCGCTATGCCACCACTCCATCATACACCTTTTTGGCATGGTGCTTAATTAAGTGCGAGGAAAACTTACCTTATATCTTTTTACCTCTACAGGTTAGATCAAATCCTTGTGTATGAGCATGGTTGCTAAACAAACTCAGAACTACTGAATTTGTAATGCTTGAAAAAGTGTACGCCACAAATAGTACTGACTAAAACTAAAAATCTACTTTCATATGTTTTCTGTGAACATAAAAATTGACATCTGATTGTAAGGTTAAGAACATACATTGAGAACAGAGTTGCTGAGGAGGATATTTGAACCCAAGAGAGGAAGTAACACAGGACTGAGGAAAATTGCACAATAGGAGCTTTGTAATATTTACTTGACCTTACAGAGTACCTTATATTGATAAAATGAGGCATGGGAAGATGAGAAATTTATACTGAAGTTTAGTCTCTCAATGACAGATTAATTGTGGAGGGATTTTCTGTGATCTAGTGAAAGCTTTCGATTGTGTTAATCATGATATCTTACTATCGAAATTAAATTTCTATGGAATAACTGGCAAAGCTAATGAATGAATCAAATCATACCTCAAAAACAGGTATCAAAGAGTTGAAATAAATAATAAAAACTCCAGTCATAATGCATTTTCAAACTGGGGAATTATAAAGCACGGTGTTCCACAAGGATCAATTTTAGGTCCCTTACTTTTTCTTCTCTACATAAATGATCTATCTAAAACCATCAACAATAAATCTAAACCAATTCTATATGCAGATGACACTAGTATAATATTTAAGAACTCTAAATTTGAAAACTTTAAAAATGACATAAATATTGTATTTGAAGCCTTAAACAGATGGTTCGAAGCCAATTTACTCTCATTAAATTTTGATAAAACCCATTACATATCATTCACAACTAAAAACAACCACCAAATTGATCTGGACATCAGTTATGCCAACAAATTAATCTGTAAAGTACTTGATACAAAATTCCTTGGAATACATGTAGACAGTACACTGTCTTGGAAAATACATATTGAACAAATTATACCTAAATTAAATGCAGCTTGCTATGCGATGAGATCAATTAAGCCTTTTATGTCACAGGAAACATTGAAGATGGTTTACCATGCCTACTTTCATTCTATTATGAACTATGGATTAATATTTTGGGGGAACTCTTCACATAGTGTAATAATTTTTAAAATACAAAAGAATATAATTAGAATCATTACAGGATGTAGAAGTAGAGATTCATGTAGAGAATTATTTAAGAAATTAAAAATTCTACCTCTTCAATCGCAATACATATTATCGCTTCTCTTATTTGTTGTTTACAACAAAGATAAATTCAAATTAAATTCTGATGTCTATAACATGAATACTAGACAAAAATATAACTTCCACCTACCCTCATCAACTTTATCAGTATATCAAAAAGGAGTCTACTTTACTGGCATAAAAGTGTTCAACAATCTGCCACAAAGTATTAAAAACTTGGGCAATGATACTAAAAAGTTTAAATCAGAGTTAAAGAATTATCTACATGCTCATTCCTTCTACTCTTTAGATGAATACTTCAATGTAAATAGAGAATGATGTAAAATTAAGTTATATTAATTTTTAAGCTAAAATTGCCTGTACTTATGTATGTAACCTTTTGACTTGTTCTGTATCCAAAGGTACTAACCTGCTTAGGATTTATAGAATGTAAATAAATTCAATTCAATCAGAAGGGAAGAGCACTTGGAGAATGAGGCATAGATGGAGGGCGTGGTGTTAAACTGAACTGTGAGTGAATTACGATGTGAGGACTGGGTTCATATGGTGTAGTATAAGGTCCAGTGGTGAGCTGTTGTGAACACTCCGGAATGGATGTTTCGGTCCCATGAAAGATGTGAAGTTTTATGATTAACTGAATGATTATTAGCATGTGTAGAAGGATTGCATTATGAAGTTGGTTTAAAACAAAATTTGTGCTGTCAGATCCTTGAGTTTTTCAATTGTTTATGTCTTCCGCCACTTACAGTTCTTCCACTATTAATGGATTTACCTTGGCTTTCCATTCTTCCATATGTTTTCCTACTTCCTCGCTATCATTGTATCGAAATGGTGTTTACTACACTGGTATTAAAATTTTTAATAAATTACCACTTGAATTAAAAGAGCTTGTACAGACGCCTAAACATTTGAAGAGTTCCTTAAGAAGATATCTGGTGTTGCACTCTTTTTACAAACTGGAGGAATTTTATTGTATAAATAGTTAGTATGTTTTTCATTTGCATTCAATTTTTTTGTAATTATATTCATTTATGTTCTATGTCTGTGTTATGTATATTTCATATGATGTCACCTAGACTTGTTCCAATGATTAATTGGAACATTTCTTCTGATATGTGACACATTCTATATGCAGTGGTTTGTGAATTTACTTCTCAACCTGTATCTGGATCTGCTTGAATTTGAAATAAAATAAAGCACAAACGAAAGAGAAATAAAGGTTATGTAACTTTTGTTCCTATAGATCTGATGAGGCAGCTGTAAAAAGATTCTGGAAAATATTGTCTGTCAACAGTACAATGGATGAGTAAGTGCATAAAACTAATTGTATTTCATTGTATGTTGGGTACATTTATTTCTGACTTTTAGTAGGAAACTTTAATGACAAATGTGTTTTCCAGCATGCGGAAAGATCTTCACGAAGACTCTAAATTTATGGACTGGCAGGAAATAGTCAATAATGAACTCCAACGGATTATTGAATCTGACAATTCTAAAACTTATGAAGAGATATTTACAGATCTAGGTGGACTTGAAATGACAAGTTCCACAGACTGCAATGACAAGTTAGAAAACTTAATAAAGAGAGTGGTGAATGAAAAACTGTGTAAGTTTTAAATTTAATAAGATATAAATACAAAATTTGGTTGGAAAACTTTGTGCAAAGAGGCCAAGGTGTAGATGGGAAGATAAGAAGAAAATGAACCTAAGGTAAATAAGTTACAGATTGGCATAGGGTTCAGTGAAAGCCTTCTGTAATGATGGTAAATACAGTGTCGTGAAGTTGGTTATATAATATATGATACATCAACTACTCTTACAACAGTGCTGTTGTTGATTTATAAACTGTGTGAATATAAAAATCATATAATATACAGTCTTAAACAATTCCTGCTTTAATGGACACATCAGAAGTTTGTGCCAATTCTGTGGATCAGATATTTAACTGAATGTTAACTGTGGTTACTTATTAAAATGTATACAACTGCTTAGATACAAGGGAGACATAGAACAGTGGAGGTGGAGGATAGTTTGATGTGAAAATATGTTTTTTGTTATCCAGATTTGGTCTGTATCTGTAATGCCCCAGGATTTCTAAATACTTTCATTCACAGATATGTGAAAGTTGAACTGTCACAATATTTGGAATATGTTCTTTCAGGAGCTATGTAAACGTAGAGTGGAGAGTTGCATTTTATGCCAAGATTAGTCTTGGGATGCAGCACCATGCAACTTGTACATAGTGTTACATCTCAGAATAGCATAATCGTAATATTCATTGCCACAAGAACTTCAAATCTTATATATATTTTTCATTTCTTGGTTTCTATAGTTGTGTAATGCTTGATTCTGTAACTAACTAAAGTCAACCACTTTTGGCATTGAAGGGAAGCAAAAGCAGCATAGAACTCCTAGTATCTACAGTGGTTCAGTATTGGTCTTCCAGTATCTTTCTTGCCTGATAAGTACACTGCAGTGCTGCTTTAAGTAGCAGTGTGTTATGCACTCTCCAATGTGACCTGTATATCTCAGTATCTCCCACATTTTTTTTTTCATGAGCTGATGGGATAAACTGTATAATTTGTAATTTAATGGATATTTATAAATATATTGTCTATTGCCATGTTAGATTGATTTTGGACTTTGGTGGAAAATGTACTATAGCTGATAAATAATGGGACAATAACATAGCATCAAGTTGTCTTTTTTTATTACTGTTTGTAAGATCTATATTATATAACCACATATAATAAACTTCAGTTTGGTTTCTAAAGTGACCTGATAATACTATCTAATCCAATAAGAAATGAATTAAAATTATCACAAGGTGTTCTGTAGACTGCAATTACACAAAAACCTCAATGTCTTGATCTTTACAATATTTACTCAGATTAATATTTAAATAGTTCAGATTCTTATGCACAAAAGTGCAAATACCACCATTTTCTATAATGTGGCACCAAATTTATAACCATCCAAATCAATATGATTTGAGTTCAGATAGTTCAAGATATGCAGGGGGGGAACCCCTAGAGTTTATCAATGCATCAGTTCTTTTTCTCAATCAACAGATATTCTGATGAAAGATTATTAGTGGATTAATATATATTGTTTGATTATCATCTACCATAAAAAAACCTCTTTCCTTGTTACTGGAGGTTTCTTACATTTTCTAGATGCTTGTGGTACTGCAACTCTTGAACTTACTAACTTCTGTAGAATTTTCCAAGTTTTCCAATTGTGTCTAGTAGTCTGTCATTCCTCTTACTTTATCAACCAATTCTTCTTGGTTCGAAACATTAGATATAGCGTGTTCATTGTCTGATGCAGCTACTTTAAAATCTTGTATGATTATATTATCGTCGCTTGAAGCATAACTTACCCCATTATCATATTCAGTGTTCCAATGCAAACTGAATGGTGGTTCTATCTGTTTTTGAAGAGTTGTAGTAACAACATTAGCTATCCTTGACTCTGCTACATTGTCCATATGCAGACCTTGTTTAGTAAAAAATTTCCTTTTGAGCTCTACTTTTACCATGACGACATACTTAAAAGGCATCATAAATTTCACTAGTTTTCTATTAAAGGTTTTCACTTCACTGTTCACACAAAACCAATCAGATAAATAATACTGAACACTCGCTAATTTCTACAAAAGTTACTATGTGTTGTAATCACATCATTTGTACCTCCCCAAAAAACAGTTATGCCTTTGTTCATTAAATATTCAATATCATCCAATGCTGAAGCAATTAGCATGTCTGTACATGCTCCTGGTTTCACAAACCCACTAGTCTTGTAACAATCTTTAAGGTCATTTTTCATATCAGCTGCACATCCTCGGGCATGACTGTTGCTGATGATCACGATTTTACATCCTGGGTTTTGTTGAGCACTGCTTTTAAATTTATGGTTTATATTCTTGTTTCCACTGAGGTTAACCCCCTAATAGTAACTGGAATCATGTACGTTAAGTCGTTTATAAGTTGCTGCTGATTTCTATGATCACTGTTATCAATATGAAACTGAAAATGAATTCTCTTTCCACCCAGTTGTTCATGTGTTCCATCTTTGTCGAGGTTATAAAGAACCTCAAAACGATTTGCAGTCCTTATAGTTGATGAGGATTTTTTAAGTTAAGTGATATCTTCTTATGAAAATACACATTTGCTCCTGTCCAGCTTTTACTCTTCACAAATGAGAATGTCCCTTTTTCATATTATATATATTCTTCATCAGACCCATATTCCCTGATGTATCATGCATGAATTATTTCTTTAAAGTGTTCATATCTTCTTGCAGAAGAGCAATAATATGTTGTGCAGATTTCATTTCCTGCGACACAGTTTGAAGTTTTACAGTCAGTAATGCACAGTTAACACAATTTACATTGTCCTTACCTCTTAGAAACTCATACTTATTGACTGCACTATTGTCAATACCCACAACCACCATCTTGATGTGTCTGGCCCCCACCATAGGAATCTGAGGTTTGTATGGTAGTGAATATCAAGATTATGGTCTTCTGGGATGAGATGTGGTGTTGTGTACTTTAGTAACTAGGTATGAACATTCAAAGGAAAACGGTACAGATCTACAAAACTGCGCAACATCACATTCCAAAAAAACATAGAAGTTGTATGTGTTAACACATCTTTTATTTATACATAACCTTCAAATTTTTTCAGGTACTTTGCCAGAGGGGACAAAAGCAGAAATATTTAGAAAGTGGGATCGTATAATCCAGACCCAACAGACTGCAATGAAATAACTATATCATCATTTATAAAGGTAAACAAAATTACAATGTAAAATGGGGTGGGTGGGGGTGTATTAAGATGCATCATCACAAAACTACAATCTAAAACTGTATTACCAATATATTTGTAGTATTTTATGTATTATACCATATCAAGTTACCACAAAAGTAACAGTAATAACTGAACAGAACGTATTCTTGGTGGTTCAAGTTGTAACACCACATGAACTGAAAATAGTTTTTTAAGAAAGTCAAATTCACAGTATGCTGTATGTACAGAGGAAATTCTTTAAATGATAAGGCATTACATATCTTGAACAAGATATGCTTTTATCTTCTGCAGCAGTTCCTTTTTCACTGAATCTGGCACGAGAGCTGAAAAAGCAAGCTTGTTAGTTGTTTGTCTTCGTATGAATCACAGATTATTTTCATGGTGATGATAATGATGCAGTAGTAGTGTTGCTAGTAGCAATAGCAGCAGCAGTAATGACCACATTCTTTATAGTTCATTTTGACACTATTTCCTTTTAGGAGAACATAATTATAAAAGTTGTACTACTACATAAAGAATGGGTTCACTGACATTTTAGAAATTATGTCCATATTTCAGTACAGGCATACTTCATCTTATTGCGCTTTGTGGATATTGAATTTTTTTACAGATTGAAAGTCTGTGGCAACCCTGTGTCCAGCAAGTGTCTTGGCGCCATTTTTCCAACAGTATGTGCTCACATCATGTGCCTTTGTTACATTTTGGTAATTTTCGCAAATTTAGGACTTTTTCATTATTATTATTATAATATCTGTTGTGGTGACTTTTGATCAATGATGTTAACTATTGTAATTGTTTTGGGGCGCCACAAACCGCACCCTTATAATATGGTGAACTTAATCAATAAACATGTGTTCTGACTGCTCCACCGACTGGCCATTCCCCCATATATCTCCTTCTCCTCAGGCCTTCCTATTCTCTGAGACAACAATATTGAAATAGGCCAATTAATAACCCTATAACTGCCTCTAAGGGTTTGAGAGGACTGACTCCAATTTTGAAAGAAGTTCTATTGTGGGTAAAATGCTGTCAAACAGCATTACATGGTACAGAGAAATCTTATGTGAAAGGAAGAGACAATGGATGCAGCGAACTTTGCTGTTATCTTATTTTAAGAAATTGTCACAGTCATCCCAGCCTTCGGCAACCACCACCCTGATCAGTCAGCAGCCATCAACACTGAGGCAAGACCCTCCATCAGCAAAAAGATGATGACTCTCTGAAAGCTCAGATGATGGTTAGCATTTTTAATCAAGGTATGTATGTACACTGTTTTTTTTTAGACAGTGCTATTGCACACTTAATAAATTAAAGTGTAGTGTAAACATAACTCTACATGCGCTGGGAAACCAAAAAATTCCTGTGACTCACTTCATTGCAGAGATCTGGAACCAAACCTGCAATATCTCTGAGGTATGCCTGTATATTGTACATTCTGGAATAAGATGAGAATAGCAACCATGCTTATCACCCATCCCTCTTTGTCACTTATGCATACACAGTGTGTCCAGGTTCTGTTAGGAGTGTGTTCATTAATTATTTTCAAAACTTCACTCTTCTGAACCAATATATAGCTGGAATCGATTTACAAGTTTTCGAAAACAGTCACTGTATTCCTTTTGTGCAATCGCATTTAAAACTGCGGTACATTCCCTTTGGATGTCCTGGATGGTGTAGTGACGGGTCTCCTTTCATCGCCAACTTAACTTTTGGGAACAACCAGAAATCTGCTGGAGCCAAATCTGGTGAATACAGAGGATGATCAAGGACTGTTGTCCCATTTCTGGCCAAAATATCGCGCACGATCTTTGATTTGTGGGGTGGGGCATTGTCATGGAGGAGCGACCAGGAACCTTGCTCTCAATATTCAGGTCGAATTTTAAGAATTCTTGCCCACAAACGATTGAGGACTCAGAGATAATAATCACAATTCACTGTCTGACCTTCTGGCAGAAAGTCCTTGTGAATGATTCCTTTGGAATCGAAGAAAACGGTTAGCAGTGTCTTTGCTCGACTCTTTTGCATGCACACTTTCTTTGGGTTCTGCTTGTTTGGGCTCAACCACACTGCACTCTGCCGCTCATATTGAAAACACCATGTCTCGTCACCAGTAACAATCAATTTTGTAAAATCACATTGGGCCGACCGTAACATGTCTTTGCAGTGGTCCACTCTGGCATGTTCTTCATCACCTGACAGCGCGTGCGGTACAAACTGCGCACGGACCTTCTGTTTGCCCAAATCCTTGGTCAAAATTTGATTCACAGTACTTTTTGGTATTCCAAAAAGCTCCTCGATGAGCCTTGCAGAAACACATCTGTCTGATGCAAGGATTTCAGTCACTTCTTTCACATTTTCTTCAGTGCGACTTGTTCTCGGCTTTGATGCACGCGGAGCATCTTCACTGTCCTCCCTGCCGTCATAAATACAGCATAACCATCGAAAAATGTTTGAGCGACTCAAACAATCACTACTGTACACACTTTTTTATCATTTTGTACACTTCTCCAGCTGTTTTGCCTTACTTCAAACAAAATTTGATGTTGACTCTGTGCAACCGCCATTTTCTGATGAGCGTCACAACAGTACTGTTACATTCAAGGTGAGAGCACACGATGCAGCGATGCTTGTGCTTTGAAATTATAGACAGCCACAGCTGAAACTTCAAGAATCTTAATGCCACAACTTGCCAACAGATGGCATTGATGGGCAAAATAAATAAATAATAAAAAAAGAGAGAGTCCTAACAGATCATGGACACACCGTGTATACATTACATTTTGGGTCTTGATCTGACTTTTTGTCATGTTTCATCATTTCCACAAATGTCTGTACCATAGGAGCTTATGCTGACATTACTTACCTGAAATGAAGAATGAAATATGTAATGCTTTGTTGTATTTATTCTTGGCAAAATCGTTTTATTACTAGGCCCATTTACTAAAATCTATGCACAAAACACGTTCCCTTGAATGAGATTACAATTTGCAATAATACCTCTGCCCTTTGAAGTAATCTCTGCAATCAAATCATCTGCTTTCAGGTTGTGAACACCCTGTTCTCTCACTACATCACGGCATAGCATCTGCACCTGGTCTCTCCAGCCACATTCTATCAGACGGGTACGCAAAAGTTCCTTCAATCTAAAATAATTAAAGTCGATGTATGAAGTGAAATAATTCTCAGATTTCTGTGAATATTTTACGTTACATACTTGTTATCTGGAGCTTCCTGTTACACACAGAATACTTATAGCACAAATATTTATTATGAGGATTGTGCCTTCATACTGCCATCAGTAGTCTGGCAATGACATACTATTCCCTGGGAATTTTGTTTTGCTGAAGCTCAGATGATTATGACTATACCTATGGCATATCCCACATACAAAATAGTGGGAACATATTTGAATTTATAGCTGTGAGATTTGACTTTTGTTTTGTAAGTTAGTCCATTATTATATTTCATCTGCCATGTGTTTTTAGCATACTTTCCTTTATATGATATAAATTCTGTCCTAAGTGCAAACAATATATTATATGTCTTTGATCTTGTTCTCCTCTACACTACATGTTTCGGCCGCAAACAGCCATCATCAGGTGTATACACTCACGTAGCTGTTACACTGCACTTAGTTTAAAATTTAACATTTAAAAACACAGGTCTTCCTGATTGTTCTTTCGTCGTTATTACCAACATCTACTTCGCTGATATCTGTCTGGTTTATACATTATCTTGTTACTTACACACGTTAGTTAGTGTAGAGGAGAACAAGATCAAAGACATATAATATATTGTTTGCGCTTAGGACGGAATTTATAGAGTGCAACAGGATGCTTAAATATAATATTGTATACTTTCCTTATTTTGAAAGAATAAAAGGAACTATGAGATCACCTTGATGTGTCTTCCCCCTCCCCCCAGCTGGTGAAAACAAGGCGTCCCTAAGGAGGGGGCAATATGACATAATGCCTGAAAGCCAGAAGAGATAGCCATTGCTAGGTAATGGCTCAGTAAGCACACGTGTTTTCTGTGCTGTTCAAAAGTAGGCAATTAGCCTTTCCCAGAAATTCTTGTCTTTACAAGATTTATGGTGGAATTTTTAAGGCTGCTTGGAATATATCTAGACTATACTTCTCAAACATAAACTGTGGTTTGATTTTTAATAAACTACTGTTTAAGTTAAGGATGTCAGAGTATGAAAAATATGCATATTTGATGGGGAAGATGAGGCAAGTTTAGACAAAACTAACCTACCAGTGTGATAAAACGTGTGTTCATAATGTCTGGCATTTCATCATATTTCCAAAAATTTGTAAGATTAAGAGCAATACATAAATAAAAAAAAGTTAATTTATATGAAAAGTAAACGGGATGACTTCAAATTAATGACATTGTTTTCCAGAGTTACAGCTGAAGTTGGCTGTATCGAAATAACTTCTTGGAGCAGAGCCCTTCTGAAGCAGCCACCATTCTGCAGCTACTCAAGAAGTTAAAGCATTTTATGGAACCTGAAGGTTCATTACCATGTTCACAAGAAACCTCCACTGGTCCATATCCTGAGCCAGATCAATCCAATCGATAACATCCCATCCTATCTCTCTAAGATCCATTTTAATATTGCCCACCACCTATGCCTTGGTCTTCCCAGTGGTCTCTTTCCTTCTGACATTCCCACCAATATTCTATACGCATTCCTCGTCTCCCCCATTCATGCTACATGACCTACCCAACTCATCCTCCTTGACTTGATCACTCTAATTATACTTGGAGAAGAGTACAAGTCATGAAGCTCCACATTATGCAGTTTTCTCCAACCTCCTGTCACTTCATCTCTCTTCGGTCCAAATACTCTCCTCAACACCGTGTTCTCAAATACCCTCAGGCTTTGTTCCAACCTTAAGGTCAGAGACCAAGTTTCACACCCATACTGAACCACAGGCAAAATGAGAATTTTGTATATTCTAATTTTTATGTCTCTAGACAGCAGACAAGACAAAAGGTTCTGACCTGAACAGTAGCAAACATTATCCGAGTTCTATCTCAATTTCCTCATGAGTCAGGTTTCGATCTGTTATCGTTGTTCCCAAATATCTGAACTGTGCCATATTTTCAAAACATCTGTTTCCTATCTTTATGTCATAATTTTGCACTGCATTTTGGTGATGAGACAGCAACATGTACTTAGTTTTCTCTGTGTTTACTTCTAGACCAACCTATTTACTTGCCTCAATTAAAGTTTGTGCATTTTTCTTTATGGTATCTACATTATCACCCAGTAGATTCACATCATCGGCATAGGCCAACAACTGACATGTCCCATTTAATTTCAGTCCCACCTGGTTTCCCTGGACCTTCATAATGGCATATTCTAAAGCAAAGTTGAAAAGGAGTGGCGATAAAGCATCTCTTTGTTTTAGACCATTCTGGATAGGAAATTTATTAGACAAATGTTTACCTAACCAGACTTTATTATACGTTTCGTTTAAACACATTTTAATCAGCCTGACTACTTTCATGGGTATCCCAAACTCTATCAGAATATTGTACAGTACTTGCCTCCTAACTGAATCCTTAACTTACATCAGAATATTGTACAATACTTCCCTCCTTACTGAACCATAGGCTTTCTTGAAGTCTATGAATAGCTGATGTACTGTCTCATTATACTCCCATTTTTTCTCCAATATCTGTCAAATGCAAAAGATCTGATCTGTAGTTGATCTGTTACATCGCAACCCACACTGATGATTCCCGATAATTTCATCTATATATATGGACTTGTCCAAAAACATAAAAATTAGAATATACAAAACTATAATTTTGCCTGTGGTTCTGTATGGGTGTGAAACTTGGTCTCTGACATTAAGGCAGGAACATAGACTGAGGGTGTTTGAGAACAGGATGTGGAGGAGAATAATTGGACCGAAGAGAGATGAAGTGAAAGGAGGTTGGAGAAACCTGCATAATGAGAGCTTCATAACTTGTACTTTTCTCCAAGTATAATTAGAATCATAAGTCAAGGAGGATGGGGTGGGCAGGTCATGTAGCACGAATGAGGAGACTAGGAATGCGTATAGGATATTGGTGCGAAAGCCGGAAAGAAAGAGACCACAGGGAAGACCAAGCCGTAGGTGGGTGGATAATATTACGGAGGTCGTACCAAGTCATGAGCATCTTTCTTTTTTGCATGCAACCTGGGAACAGCAGACGAAAGAGAGTATGGTGGTAGGTGGAACCACCTGTTGTGTTAACCTTGAGTGTCTTGTGATGTCAATAGCTTGCATCACGTGACCAGTATCACTCCTAACAAAATGGCCGACAACAATATGTTGTTTTGCCAGCGTGCTGTCATTGAATTTCTTGTGAAAGAGGAAATCCCTGCTGCAGAAATTCACCAGAGACTTCAGCGTGCTTATGAAAGTGTGTGCATGGGTGCGAGCAGTGTTCAAAGAGGGGTGAAACATTTTAAAGATGGGAACACCAGCATCGAAGATGAGCCTCGGAGCTGTTGTCCTCGAACAGCCTCAACTGAATACAACAAGGAAAGATTGGATGAGATCATTCAAGGTGACATGTGTGACTGTGGACGCAATAGCCCAAAAACTTGGAACAGGGCACAGTGCAGTACAGGAGATGATTGAAAGCTTGGGCTATAGGAAAATTTGTGCTTGTTGAGTACTGCTGCAGAGATATTGACACGAAGGCGATGATTTTTTGCTCTGTATTGTGACAGGTGACGAAAGCTGGTTTCACCATTTCGAGCCTGAAACGAAACGGCAGAGTATGGAATGGCAACATTTGCATTCTCCATCAAAAAAGAAGGCAAAGACAGTGCCATCAGCTGCGAAGGTGATGGGCACAGTCTTCTGGGATGCAGAGGGGTTTATTCTAGCCGAATTCCTGGAACCTGGGCAAACCATCAAAGCTGCTCGTTATGTCTAGACACTGCACAAGCTCCATTGTGCATTGCGCAATAAATGTCTTGGACGAAACGTCATCATCCTGCATGACAACGCTCGCCTCACATTGGAAGCAATTGCAAAGATGAGGTGGCAAGTTCTTCCACAACCCTCTTATAGCCCTGATTTGGCACCCTCTGACTACCATCTTTTCGGATTTCTGAAGGATCAGCTGCGTGGACAACGTTTTGAGACAAGGGAGGAAATTCAGAAAGCAGTCCATCAGTGTCTTCGGATGGCTGGAACAGAAGTTTACAGAAGGGGAATTTTCAAACTCCCAGAACACTGGGAGAAATATGTACAAAGAAGTGGTGATTATGTGGAAAAATACAGAAAGGTCTGTAGATTGAGGTGGTGTATTTGGTTTGTCAATAATAAAGCATGTTACTTTACAAAAAAATGTTGCTCATGACTTTCAGTACGACCCTCGTAGAATGGATCTTATAGAGATAGGATGTGGGTATAGATTGGATAGATCTGGCTCAGGATAGGGACCAATGGAGGTCTCTTGTGAACACAGTAATGAACTTTCGGGTTCCATAAAATGCTGGGAAATTCTTGAGTAGCCGCAGAATTGGCGGCTCCTCCAGAAGGGCTCACCTCCATGAGCGAGTAAGTAAGTATGGACTTAACCTTGAGAGAATATTGGATAAAATTTTGTATGAAGTTTATAGCAGTGATATCCCCCGATAATTACGTCAGTCTTCTCACCCTTCTTGTGAACTGGTACAATAATAGACTCCTTCCACTGATGAGGCAATTTTTCCTTATGCCAAATAGAAGTAGTTAGATTGTGGATCTTAGAATGTAATATTTCGCCTCCTGCTTGAATAAGTTCTGCTGGAATTTGATCACTACCTGGCGATTTATACCGTTTCAATTTTGCAATAGCACTTTCAACCTCAAACAGGCTAGGATTGGGTACTAATGGCTCAGCTGTATGGATTTCTGTCTGCCTAACATCACTGACCCTATGTACACTCAGTAACTGAGAGTAGTAGTTCCTCCACCTATTCAAAATGTAGTGGGAATCTGCAAGCAGATCACCATTCTCATCCTTCACTAAGTTACTGCTAGGCTGGTAACCCCTCTTAAAGTAATTTATTCCTCTATACAGGTCTCTAATGTTCTTGTTCTTACTGTTCATTGCAAGCTCATCAATTTTGTCTTTCAGATATTCCCTCTTTTTGTTCCTGAAATGCCTGCTGGTTTCACATCTTATATTGTTCAGATTATCCCTATTTCTTTCACTTGGATCGTGTAACCATTTCAATTTGGCTTGTTCTCTTTGGTCTAATAATTTTGAGCATCTTTCATCGAACCATGGCTTATTCTTCTTTAGCTCATAATAACCTAGACTCTCTTTGGCAGACATTTTTATATTCTGTCTAATAGTTTCCCAAGCTTTATTAACATCCACTTCAGTGTCCAAGTTTTCAAAAGCTGCGAACCTATTTGAGATTTCAACACAATACTGCTCTTTAACCTCTACTTCATTTAATTTCTTGAGATTGAACTGCTCCATATGAACTTTGCGAGTTGTTTGTTTGCTCACTGCCAGTCTTTCCCTAACCTTTGCCACCACCCGGTAGTGGTCAGTATCACAATCTCCTGTCTATCAAAATATGGTCTGTTTGATTGTGTCTTCCCATCAGGAGATGTCCAAGAGCATTATGGATGTTATGATGCGGGAACATTGTATTTTTAACAGTAAGATCTTTTGATGTGGCAAAGTTTACTACTCTTATCTCCATTAGCATTACTAATTTCATGCAAACTCTCATGCCCAATTGTTGGTTTGAAAATGTCTTCCCTCCCTACTTTGGCATTGAAATCTTCTAACAAAATTTTCATAGGGTACTTCGGGAATTTGTCAAATATATGTTCTAGTTCTTCATAGAATCTGTTGGGGCATAACAATGATATCACACCAGCGACCTTTTAGTATTATATATGATATCTTATCACTAACGAACTCTACCCTCTTAACTGCTGATACGATTCTCTTATGTACGAAAAAACCTGTACCTAATTCATGATTTTCATTCCCCTTTCCATAGAAAAATGTATAGTCTCCTGCTGGTGCAATGCCACCTCCATCCCATCTGACCTCCTGTACTCCCACAAAATCTTAACTTATATTTTAAGATTTCTTCTGCCACTGCCCTGAGCAAACCTGACCTATACAAACTCCGAACAATCCAAGTGCCAGATCTCATATCCATTTTCTTTAGCTTAGGTCGTTTATCCAAGGAGTCCGTCCACGTCTGAGGCTGTGTTCATTTTTGTAACAAAGTATTTTCTCCTCGAATATTTAGCCCCAAGCCCAACCCCCAAGCTGGAGGGCCACCCCTTGTCGGCTGTCCGCGACTGCTTATTCAATATATTCACAGTTTCCCTTCAAAAGTGGAGGGCATCTCCTCCATCCGCTACCTGGGGACACGCCATACCGTGGTGAGAGGGACCCACCTAACATGGCCAAAGTTCATTACAGTGCTCAAAATTACTTGGCTCCTATCCTGAACCAGATGAATTCAGTTCACACTCTTACTCGCCATTTCTGTACATTATTTGATGTCCTCCACTTGAACCAATGTTTCTCAAGTTTTCCTTTAAGGTATTTCTACTGAAACTTAATATAAACTGAATGAGATCAGATAATACTAAATTAAGAAATGAAACACATTCCGAAAGCTCTATTTTACAATAAGGAATTTATTACTAAAACAGCACTCAAGTCTCTCTAACTTTTCAGTATGGCCTACTCTTTACATACCTGTATGTAATTTTCATACCCATCTTTGATAATATAGTAGGAACTTGTCCTAAATATGAGTTGAGATAGCTCAGTCAGTGTAAGGGCAGGTTACAGGATGTATGGCCAGGGCAAGAGATTATCCATACACAGTGTCAAGCTCAGCCTCCTGTCCAGTTCTTTCCCCTGGGGTCATGCACCCAGGGCATGAAGCTGACCACTCATCACCATTTAGTGCTGAGGCCAAGAATGGTGAACCTATACCTCCATTCCCCCAAATCTTCGTGGCACTGTGCTTAACTGAGTATGCACAGGGACACCTTAACCTCTTACTTGTCTTAAATGAGAAATTGCTATTCCTACGGCAGTTGACTAACTGATATTGGGCCTCTCAAAAGAGACTGTTCAATCTTCAGGTACAGCCAGATATTGGATGGGGCTAAGTTCAAAAGGAGGTGAATGCAGGAGCACCTAGGTTCCTTTACTGAACATGAAAACTCGGAACAAAAAGGGAATTGCAAAAACATAACTCATTCATATGAACTTTTCACTGACTAGTTTTGAGGGCAATTTTTAACAGCAGGTGAGAGGGACTTTCAATATCTTGTACACTTCAAACTCAGGATTTAGTGATATATATATGCATTATGTAAGGAATGACTTAATGATCCTTTTAATATCATAATCTGACAGCTCAGCTGTCTCCTGGACGTTCTTTATAAATTTAGAATATAAATCCTTGCTAGCCCTGTCCACAATCAATAGTTAGGTCCTTACCGCTCTCTTTCACCAGTCATTATTAAGGTCTGGTCTGTTTTGCATAACATTGTTGGAGGATCTGGAACAAAAGAGGTAAATTTGCAGTTATGCAACTTAAAAACATTAATGCACTCCATGGAGTAGTCTTTCTTGGGAAGCTCATGGTTGTACATCTAGTCTAGAAATTTCCCTCTTCACAAGAGCAATAACAGTGCTTGATCACAGACTTTAGATGCAATCATGTTACAAAGTTAGTTGACTAGCAATCAGATCCAATGGTATGAACTGTCTGTTTCATTCTTTGTGTTCCTGAGAACTCCCTTCATGGGATTACTGAATCAAAAGATTGATATGTTTTATTAGTTACATGTTTTTTTTTTGGAACACAACAGCATAACTTGAAGAGTACCTGTATCTGCAATTTCTATACACACATGCTGGACAGTATATGGTTGAAACTAAATTAAAATGAACATTTAATTTGCTCATTCAGAATAATTTAGCATCATCTGAAATGGGACTATGCAAAAGGCTAACAGCAACTATTTCATTTTGTTTTTCTGCCATTTTAATCAACACATTTCAAAAGTAATTGAAAGTGCCTTTTTCTCACATCACAGTCCAGAAAACATATTTAGAAAGTTCTCTACCATGTGACTCAAATTTCAAATTTGAGTCACACGGCAAATAATTTTCTATGTTTTCTGGGCTGTGATGCAAGAAAAAACTTTCGGTTACTTTTGAAATGTGGCAATTAAATGGCAGAAAACAAAATGAAATAGTTGCTGTTAACCTCTTGCATAGTCCCATTTCGGATGATACTAAATTACTCTAAATGAGCAAATCAAATGTTCATATTAATGTAGTATCAAGCACATGCTGTCCAGCATGCGTGTATAGAAATTTCAGATATAGGCAGTTCTCTCATATTACAGTACAGGAAACAATCTCGATCGATTTCCTCGATTCTGCATGCGATAGTCGATGGATAGCAACTGAGGTACAACAATGTGCCCTTGAATTTTACAAACTTCCGGGATGTAATTCCTCAAGAAAGTAACCCCCATAGTTATCTTTGTGAGAACGTCCAATTTTTACGTGTTTTTATATTTGCAATACACAATTATATAACACATATTGAATATCACTATTACATTTCAGATCTAAGCAGAAAATAAATACTACACACTTTAAAGCACTATAACCAAAAACCTCAATTAATCTCACGTTTCGTGTCACTTCTCTTCAGTCCGTTTATACGAACATTGCGTCCACAGACGGCATGAACACCATTGTACTATACTTTCTCGCATGTCGACAGTGGAGCCGAGCGTGTTCCTTTAGCATAGGACCCCTACTCTCGGCAGGGAACAGCGAGTCTCCGGGTGAGGTTTATGAAGGCATACAAGCTGCCACTTCAAGCTGTGCCACCTAAAGTGTTAACACGTTCCAAACGTAAGCTGCCTCTAAGTATGAACTGTCAGACGTAATGTGTCTTGATCGCCTTGATGTATACACAAGGATTCAGTCGTTGTTGCGGTAGAAATCAAAGAGATAGCTATGAAGAGTAGTATCTTCTGGGTTGTGACGCCGTGTAGTCCGATAGTTTACCGACACGGTCTTGAACGTCTTGAACTTGCTAGTTGCTTCTACCCTCAAGATAAGAGCATTACGTCCTTTTAAACGGAGAATTTCAATGGCTTACATGACATCACGTCCCAGAAGATGGCACACTTCGGCTGAATTATAGATTGTACATACAAATGCAACTACAACCAAACTACTCAGTCACCAACATTCACATTATGCTCAATGCAATACTGGTCATTATAGAGATTCTCTTTGAGGTCAGTATTAATATTTTGGTATGTGATGCCGTGTAGTTTGCAGATTACTTGAGAATATATGTTACAAACAAAACATTATGCCCAACGGCTTTTGGACATGCAGTAAACGACCAAGGCGATATGCCCTACGGCTTTTGAACATGCAGTAAACGACGAAGGCGATATTAATCATCGCTACGTAACAAACGATCAAGGCGATATGCCCTACGGCTTTTGAACATGCAGTAAACGACGAAGGCGATCGCTATGTAACAACATAATCATTTCGATTCACCAAAGCATGTAAACGTGGGTAAATCGTGAATAGCTTAACCCCTGTGATGACTGTAGCGCTATCTAAATTCAGAACTCACGTCTGGTTCTCTCTCGAAGCAACTATGGTTCGTAGAAACAACTATGCCCAAAAATTGGCGTGAGGGTCAGCGTCTCAGTGGGCATATCTGCTAAAAGACATTTGGAAGTTGTATGATATAATGAATGGGATTAAGTTGTGAACTTCATATTAATTGTGAAGACGCATTCACATCACACTTTAACAAGGTGAGATGTTTTGGTAGTTATTTATTTCAGTCTTCGAATTATTGTAAGTTGAGGCGGTAGATAAGTACAGAGACAATTCTTTGCTGTGAAAACTGTTCAGATGTTACAGTGCGTTTATATTATACAAGTTTTATCGTATTGAATAATTTACTAATGAAGATGTATGGCTGGGTCATCCTACAATGTCGTACATTTTAATAGAATTTTCAAGAAAAAAAAAGCAGTATTGAGGTGTAGCCCATAAAGAAATCACATGTTTGCTAACAGTAGCTCATAGTCGCATGAAAGACCCTTTTCGTAATTACAAAGTGATGTTTAAACCGTTCGTATCCCCACGGTTTAGAATTGTTTTTATGTATTGCTGGCAGACGTTACTGAGGTAGTAAACACGTTTAGACAATGTCACTTTCGTAAAATACCTAGTTAGAGGTAACTTTTCAGAAAAATAACATTGTGTGAAGTATATAGAATTAATGCTGTATTAGAGTATCCAGTGTTAGCCTAGACTGGTTGACTGTACAGTTCTTCCATTATGAGAAATCGTCAAAGATCTAAAAACAGTGCTGTAAGTTGTAGTGGGACTCATCTAGCTTCCTAACAATGGAAATAAATGCCTCTCTGTATTAGCTCCATATAACCAGTTGACTTGAGTCAGCCATAAATTATCAATCAGTCTTTCCCTTTGGTTGATATGGCTGTAGCTGACAATGGATCTCCATATAATGCTGAGGTCAAGAATGTGTTGGACTGAATGTTGCAGTCAGTTGGTTAGCCTTCCTACTCTGTATTTGGGAAGTTCTGGGACCAGATCTCTGTCTGAAGACCAGCTATCTTTAGTGAAGTTTTTTGTGGGTTTTCTCAATCTCTCATGGCATGTTAATGCTTCAGATTAAATTGTGACCCCTGCTTTTCACATCATTTCCAATTCATTGTTCATGTATGATTCTATTATTTAACACTGTGTAGTATTATCTACTAACACCATCATCATTAAGTGAACTATGAATAAATAAGTGAACGAGAATATGGGAAACATAATCTTAGTGCTTCATATTTGCCTTCATGACACAATGCTTAGACGCAAGTGTAACTTTCCCATTACCATATTCATACCAATATTTTTGTCTTAATGGCTGTGGTGTTGAATGATATGGAATATTAATTAATTTTTTGTAGTCATTGTTGATTGGTGTTGATAACTCAGGACTGCAAATGAGTAAGGTATTTAAACTGTTGGCAGATTCTTATGTTAGTACTGATAAAGCTCTTTGTAAAGCAGTATTTGCAGATATGGTGAATCTGTTGCTAACATCGATTGATTGATTGATTGATTTATTTCGTCACTGTAGATCATTGTACATGATATAGGACAAATCAAGTTAATTCAGAATATTAACAGTTTAATATATGAGTAAGATTAAAATTACAATAGTTACAATTGTTTACAGTTGATTACAATTTAGAATTAGTTAGATATTCTTATTTGTGGAGAATTTGATGGAATGAAGATCACTTATATGTTGCTGTTGGTATCTAAATTACTGGATCTTTAAATATATGGGGTTCTGTAATTGCTCTGTTTGTCCCTCTTTGTTAGTTATAGTTTACTTTTGCGCTTTTGCAATAGAGCTTTTATGGTCACTGTGTCTTTGGTATATAGTTTTAAACTGTTGCACCAGCAGATTTGCAATTTACATATATTCATTACTTTATTATTAAGAAATCATTCATAAAACTTAAATACTGAACTGAAATCAACAAGTTTATATCATCTAAAACTTACTTCTTTCAATTTTTTTTATTTCCTTTGTCATATATTGTGTAGCTCAAGAATCATTTTGTGGTTTGTATCCAGAAGTATGATTTGTGTACATGTCAACATACATATACAGAAATCTGATATACATAAATTGTTTATCTGTGTTCGGTATGTAGAATGTTAATGAAATAAAGATCTCTACATGAAATTTCACTTTTTGTGACTTGTGTCCTTTTTTAAGAGATGATGGTATATGGAAGGTTTAGACATAATGTCTGTGAAGAACCACTTCACCACCACATACACAGTCTCATACAGTCATGTACTCAGTGTTGATTCTCAGTCTTACTAATGCAACTTTAATATTGTTTCAATGGTTGTGTGGCTGTTGCCACCACATTTTCATCACTATTTCAAGTGAGAAGTTAACAACTTTGAATTATTACTGACATAACATTAAAAATATGTTAACTGTTTTAACCATGTAAAGATAAAGCTATTCCTGTAACAGGCCATGGAGGGCCATAGGTTTGTGAGATGTAAAGGCTCTCACATTTTCTATACAGTAAGCTCACAGATGGCGGTGAGGTTGTCAGCCTTAAATGCTGTCTACCCTTTACCCCCAGGAAGATTCCTGATAGTAATTTCTGTTAGAGGCTGAGTTGACCCCAGGATGATAGTGCAGCTGGAAGGATTAAGTGAATTGAAAAATCCAGTGACCTCATTGGGAATTGAACCTGGGACCGTCCAGCTTGTAGCATAGTGCCTCAGCCAACTGTGCTACCGAAGACTATTTTAACTTGATTTTAATTGTTGTTTACCACTGTAGGGTATTGATGCAGTGAAGCAACTTATGCAGAAAATGCACCTGAGGAGGCCTTATAAAGTCAAAAACATGTTGCATAAGCGGTGAAATAATGAATGAAAATGTGACTGTGGTAATAACCATGCAACCGTCAAAATGCATTGGAAGTTGCATATATATGACTTTGAATAAACATTAAGGTGATCAATCTGTGTAGCCGAATGGTTAAATATAATATTCTTTATGCTTATTATAGTTGATTCAGAATGTACATGGCTATACATTTTTCCCCTATTAATATATATTAAAAGACAGTTAGCTGTAAATTTTAGAACATTAAAATGCATTTGTAAGAATCTCATCCATTGCACTCATGCAGCAGGTATTTAGGTCTTGTTACCCAGGCATGGTCACACCAAACATAATTTGTCATAAGCAGGGTGACCATATTAAAAAAAATCCAGGACATTCTTTGAAGATGGAGGGACAGAATTGAGAGGGTTAGGGAGGGGCACATTTGCATGCTAAGAACTGATCACACCTCTTCTTTAAAATGAAGAACAAGAAACTGTACAGATGGTATAGTGGTAACATTGTAGGCTTGTATTTTGGAGATGCTTGGTTCAAACCTGAACCAGGGCACTGGTTTTTATGGCCTTCTTCAGTCCCTCCAGGCAAACAGTGGGATAGTCTTTTGATTAGGTCACAATTGCCACTTCATTCCAAACGTTGTAAAATCGTCATTCTTCCTACAATTTTATGCCATGTAAAATCTAAGTACTGACTGCATTGTGAACTACTGTGTGTTTAGTTTGCTTGTGTTCTTCCTGATGACAGTGTGCAGTGAAACGCTGTGTAACGCTTTCAGATTATGTGTCTCCCTTGGGGTTCAAGTTTGAATGATTTAAAGTTGAAATCCAGGATATTTTGTCAGTTCCTAATTAACTGGCTAAGATCCTGGGACAGGGTATAAAAACTGGGACTTGTCTCAACAAGACCAGCTCAGCTTAGCTTTAATGCCTTGTGAGGAGTATGAGTGGGAACTATTAAATTCTGTAGTCTTTGGTAGTGCCATCATGTAATTTTATTTCACTGTAGTGGAAGAGTAGGGATGTAGTAGTGCCAGATGCTTTAATATAGTACTTAGTTCATTGTGTGTGAAGCATGATCAGAGAGGATTGAGGAATAATAAACATTCATATTGCATAACTGCTAAGCTTGGCATGCACTTTAAGCCAAGGATGTACTTGTTACATATGCTAATTGCTTTAAATATTTTGGTGTAGAATTGACATGCACAGATATTTTATCAGTTATGAAGCACTTCACAGTCTGTAAATGTTCACCTTGCTCTCCAGTTTTACCTTGCTGTGTATGTAAGCTAAGAAAAGAATACCATTGTGAGCATGACATGCCTTGACTTTTATTTCATGAAGCTTTTTTTTATAATTGTAATGACATTTTTGTATGGAACATTCTAGTAACTTGAGAGTTTGGTCATTATTGTCCATTAAGTCTGATAATTTACTTTATCTAAAGAAGTTTAATCTGTGCCCAGCCACCACATCATGAAGGTGTTTTAGGGGAGTGGAGGTAAAGCTCTGCACATTCTTGGACCCATCAGTTTATGAGGGTGAGTGGTCAAATTTGTACTTTGGCTGCTCTTTGAGAAATCTCTCATATACTGGGAATGAAGTCTGCCCATAGCCAGTCACTTACCATAAACAATTATCTTTCATCACTTTATTTAAATTAACAGTTATATATTAAATTAACTTTTTATATCACATTGAATAGATTGGAAAAGTGTTTTATGCAACATTTGTAGCTCTTACCAAGGTCCATGTTTATGCCATATCTACAGATTCTTAGTATCATATCTTTTGACCAGTGACAGTGTTAAAAATCATGCCAAAGTTTTCAGCTTGCACTGTACATGTGGACAGACCTTGGTAATTACCTTGCCTTCTTTTCATTTGAGGATAGTAGTTGTTGCCATCTCACTAAATACATTTCAGTGTCTGTTCCTTACTGGAAGTCATCTTCCAAAAGTCCTTTCAGTACAAATCAAATTTATCCTTTCAGTACTGTTGTCACATTTGAATATCAGCAAGAGGATTCAAGATGTGACCCTTTGAAGGGGATTTTTAGTTTTGGGAACCCAAGAAGTAGCATAATCCTGAATCGGGTGAATATAGTGGATGTTCAAGCACTTGAATTTGTTTCTTTGGTCCAAAGTTTCTGTGCTGAAAATATGACATGGGAAAGTGCATAGCCATGGCACAAAATCCACTTGCCCAGCTAAAAAATTTGGTCTTGATGAATGCACTGCTGTGAGTATTCCAGAATGTAGAAAGGTTAATGGTTGGTTGGTTGGTTGGTTGGTTGTTTTGGGAGGTTGAAATTCATAGTGGATACTCTAATCAGAGATGGACATCAGCATGAAATAGACCCTAGGTTTTGGAATTTACATTTTTTTCAGGCTCTGTTCATATTAAGACATGCTGTGTTCCAGTAAGTTAGCAATCATTTCTTACCATTTCAGTCATTTTTTCTGTTTGAGTCAGTTCTTGAAGTTGATGGATGACTTCCTCTTTTAATGCTTGTAGAATTTCCCCATCTGTCTTGAATCCAGTTACTCTACATGAAAGCCTTTATTCTTTTACTCATTTTTACATCTTCATACAGTTAGAGGTATGTGTTGTAAATGCCAGTGTCATGTTTCTCAGTTACTGTTGCCTCCCTGTTGTAACACTTTTATCACCAAAATTATTTGCAAACAGATCACCATGACAATAGTAATAAAAGAGGTATTTCAACCACAAAACAAACCAAATCCCAAATTACTGACAAGAAAACTGCTGAATGTGGCAGTCACATGATCCAGCACATAAAGAAAACTTCAGTCTGGTTGTTTGTTAGACATATATTATACTGACTTAAGATATACTTTGATTGACCATTTGTTACAGAACAGTGGCATTACTGGTTCTGTTGTTAGTACACTTTGCTCTGAGTGAGGTACAGTAATATGGATGCATGTTATTCTGTCATGTATGAACACGTGGTGTCCGTACGGCTTATGAAACAGGTTGTACTTGATTACATTGTTTTAATTTTGTATAGATGAGCTGCCAACAATGTGTATAGAAACTGGTTTCATTGTTTACATGGAACCACATTTTTTAAAAATGACAAATAATCGGAATTTCATAGCAAATGCAATTAATTGAATTTCAGGTATAGACATCTCAGGATGTAGCATCATGTGAAGTGACCCTTATAGTTTGTAAGGTTGTTGCTGGATGTATGGTGATCCCGGTAGCAGGAGTCATGGCCCGCAGAAGGAAGGGGGCTGGAAGCAGCAAGGCAGCATCTAAGTCACAAGCCAAGGCTTCTAGGAAGAGCAATGGTCTGTCAGAGGAAAGGCTCAATGGATCCCTGTTGCCTTCAAGCACAAATGAGTCAGAAGAGTCTTGTGTAAGCCAAGATGATAATCTGACTCCTTTGTCATGTCACACCCCCATTGAAATGTGCCCTACAGATCCAAGTCTTGGTGAGCCACCCCCATTAACTGTTTTTAAAATAAATGCATCACCTCAACATGTTCCATTGGTGCACAAAAAATTCAGAAAGTTCAGACACATGCTTGAGCCTGGAGATATCCAGGAACCACAAAATTGTGTTGCAGCATTGGAGAAGGTGGCTACTCATGAGACTGAGACAGAGACACCACAGGTGCTTGAGAGTCATGGAGAGGTTAGTGTGGAAGAAGTGGTGATAGAACAACAGGCGATGGATATGGCTGAAGCGCAAGAAGTACCTGTAGTGTGGGAAGAAGAAGTTGTGGAAGAGACTGTTGTGTGTGAAGGGATGGAAGTAGAATTGGAAGACACAAGAAGTCAAGATAACCTGATGGTTGAGGAAGCGGATAGTCAAGAGAGTGATTACAGTAACATGATTGAAGTGAGGAATAGTGAATTCAGTAGTCAAGCTGGACATGTGATACTTGTAAGAGAAGGTGACTATAGCAGTCGGTACAACCAGGAGTTGATGGATGTGGGAGATGTGTTATCTCATCATAGGTTAGTGGAGTTTAGCAGTACACAGGACACTGAAAAGAATATGAGTCACCAAATACAAGAGATGCTAATATTTGGCAATGAAGATAGTCAAGGAACGCTAAGGGGAGTTGAAGACTGCAGCCAGGGTAGTCAGGTGTCAGTAAGAGGTGTGGAGATGGACATGCAGAATGACAGAAGGGTGTTGAAGCCTGTTGATTCTGAGAATGTTGTGGATATTATAAAATGTGTGAAAGCAGATCAACAAACAGTGATCTTACAAGTACCAAACAGACAAATAACAAATATTAAAGAAGAGAGTGACACTGGGAATTGTGAAAATGTAGGAAGTGTTGCATTTATAGAAGAAAATAGTCAAGAAAATAAGCAAGTATTCAGAGATATTCAAATCAGTATGAATCAAAATATAGTTAAAATATTGAAAGACAATAAGTGTTACATTGGAAATAATGACATTAATTTAGTGGATGTAAGAATGAAAACAGAATATGAGACTGAAATAGGATTGGGTTTGAATGAACTGAATGAATTAGAAACGGATCAGATACGTTTGGATTTAGGTGTTGAATTCAATAAAGACAGTAAAGTAATTGCTGAAAGAAACGATTTACATAAATCTCAAAGTGAAGTCAAATTAGAATCAGTAGTTGAGACCTCAGAAGTAAACAGAAAGGTTCAAGCAGAAGAGAATAGTCTTCTGCACATGCGAGAAGTTTCAGAGGATCAGCACTTGGCTCTTAGATGTAATGAAGATGAAACAGAAAGAAAGCAGGTGCCAGCATTTCGCAGTCGAAGTGGAAGCACAGATACAACAGGTTCAGAAAGTAGTTCTAACTGCAGTTCTGGAGTCCGACGTAGCAGTCGAATACGCTCAATTGGCATAATGAAACAGAGGGCGCAGAACAGAAGTGACACTATAGAAACATCAGCGACATTATATGAGAAGGAAGGCAGTGAAGCTAAAACATATGAAGGAAGGGACAGTTTGGATTGTTGTTCTGGTACTGATACACAGTCTGACAAAGAAAACGCTGGTGTCACAAAAATTCCTGTACCAATAAGCTCACCAGCTACAATGCATGGTTTGGTAACTCCAACCATTTCAGGATATGATGTTGACAGTTGTAAACCAGTGAAAGTGAAGTCTCGGTGGAGGAGATCTAGTGAATTGGAGATGGTAAGCAATCGAAGTAGTGACAGTGAGTTTGCTGCCACACCACCAACGCCTAGTCTCTCACCCAGACCCATGATCCCAGTTGCACCAAGTTTATCACCTCAGCCTGCAGCTTCTGCTATTCCAAATCTCGCAGTTCAGTCTCTCATTGCTAGCATAGCAGTCGCACCTTTGGAGCAAGCAATTTCAGGTGATGCAGCCAGGAAGGACAACCGTAGCGATAGGAAAGAGAGGGAGGATAAGGAGATGGAAGAGCGACTCCGCAATTTTGACAGACTGATTGAAAATGAATATCTAACCGAGAGGTGAGTTTTCCGTTTGATATTTGCTAGAGCTATTTTGTAGCATTTCCATAGTCAGTTTTCATTATGGGGAAGCATATTGACAACATATCATTCTATTTAAATATGGAATTTGTTCATTTCTCATATCTCGGGATTGAATATATGAAGTACTTATTTATTTATTTATTTTAGAACTACAAGCAAAGAAGCAAAGCGCATGGTTTGTGATTGTTTCCTAACCAAAGATGAAATTGCTCGTGGAGAAATGGGTTGTGGTGAAGATTGCCTCAATCGTCTGCTTATGATTGAATGGTAAGCCTACTATGCTGATGTAAGCACTAAAATTATTAGGCATAAAACTAAGTATATGTCTGTGTCTTGTCTGGTTATAGGACAAAATCAATGCAATAAAAAATTCTTTGAAAATGTGGCATGTAAGTCGTTTTCAGTAACAGTAACATAAAGAAGTAATACAGTTTCTTTATTAAGTCCGTCACAACACAACAGTATAAAGGTCAAGGCTATTGTTGTGTTTTGACGGACTTTAATAAAGAAATTGTATATAATAACACAACAGGATGCATAAAATGAAAATTAAAGAAGTAATATTGACACTGATATTAAGAAAAGAAACTGAGGAAATGGATAATGCTCTTCACTACAGAATCTTGTAACGATGTTTCCAGAGTACAAGGAGGACAAATTAAAAGTATTAGAGAATATAATGCAGCAATAAATTTGATTGTAAGAGTTTACGTAGGAGAATGGAGGAACGTACATCATGATCAGTTGCTACAAGTTAGGAGATGTGTAGAACACGTGATTCTAAAAGAAGTGCGTAAGAGTTTTGGCTTGTAGTTTTCATACATTGAGGCAACCAGGGAACCATCGGTGTAGATAGAAGTATATTGTTAAAATGGACCCTAGAGAAACAGATTGTAGAGAGTGAACTGGTTAGAGAAGAGTTCACTGGCCAAAGGTTGTGAAAACAGTGATCAGGTGCTTAGGTTCCATGAATTCATATCGAACTACATGGAGCACAGTTTTTCTTGAGAAACTAACAGTCATTCAGCCAGCCAGTAAATTCCCTGCTTGTTCCAGAACCTGCAGGATTATTACCATGTTCACAGGGGGCTCTAGATTCCATAACAACTAAGAATTTATCAATCAGATGAATAATTATCATACACTCAAGGAGGTTTGTTTCTGTAGTTACAGCTTTCTGTATTAGTCCTTTTCTACGTTCAGAATGATGCTTCATACACACAATTTGTATATAACATATGTTAGATGGCTTTGAAGAAGAACATTTTAGTACTGGCTGATACTTGTAAGTGAAAAATTAGTTTTCTTGGCAACAGTAAAGACGTAATGATGCTGTCTTATTTTAGGGATAACTAGGAATTCTGTTATCTGTTTTAGAGGATTCCCTGAATAATGCAAATTCAAAACCCTACATCACTGTGTCACAGGAAATATCACTGTATTAGATATGTAGTTCTCATATTTGTTTTAATAGAAACGAAGTGTGTATGGAGCATATTTTCGTTTCAGTGATAATCATTCAGTGCATTTGGTATCAGCCATTAATTGCTTTTTATATAATGTTTCTTCAGTGATAATATGACATATTTTATTATGTTAACACAACAACAACAACAACAGATTTGTGAAAGAAATATAGGTAGTGCAGTTTATCGTTTCAGTGACATGAACACTGTGTCTTGCTATGGGCTGTTAGCTGTGGATAAACATTTTCTGTGAAGTAAGACTGAATTGTCAGTCATCATTTGACATAGCATCTTCAAATGCTTGAAGGTTGGCTAATAGGTTGCTGATAAGACACATGTATGTCTGGGAGCAGTGGTATGAGGATAAATAAAGAAGTATCAATTTATTTATTAAAATTGACACAACAGGTATATACTGTAACTCAACATTGCATGAAGTAATTTCCTTGTTTTTCAATACACGTAGTCTAGTGTTGCATGAGTGTATATATGTCATTGGAAAAAAGAGTTTTCTGCTGTTGGCCAGCCATGTATACACTGTATCCTTCAGTGTATGGTTGCTGGCAGAACAGTTTTGTTTTGAAGCATCTTCAGAGGGTCGAGATAGATGAACATCTGAAAGAGCAAGGTTAGGGCTGTGTTGTGGATGTTCTAGGATTCAAAGCATAGCTGCTCTTTCTTTTATGATAGACATTGCTCCTGACCATTGCATCATATAGCTTAAGTAAAATTAAGATTAAATTCCATCAAATGCAATATTGTTCCTTTTTTTTTTTAAATAATAAAATAAAGCCTATACATGTTTTGGCCAAAGATGGCCATTGACCAAAGATGACCAGTGCTTTAAAGGAAGTGCTTCACATGTATGTGTTGTCTTGTAAGGGTTAAAACACTGTTATTTGGAACATGTTTTTTTAGAAGTAATAGAATTTTTGATTGAATGGAATTTTGCTGTGATGGTCATCTGAATTGTGTTGGCCCTGTGTGTCATGTGAGTGGGGTTGTGGTGCTGTGTAGGATGTGGTTTAATGAACTGGTCACCAAACATCCCCCACACACAATCAACGCAGTTCAGATAACTACTGTGAAGGAACATGACAATCACTGGGGCTTCACAGCAGTATTCCATTCAGTCGAAAATTCTTGTTACTTTAAAGAACATTTTAAATGCTAGTGTTTTATCCTTTAAAAGACACATGCCTGTAATACATGCGAAACATTTCCTTTAAAATGTTGGTCACCTTCTGATGATGGCCATCATTGGCAAAAACATGCATAGACTTTATTTTTCATTAAAAATTTTGTTGCATTTGATGGAATTTAATCCTAATTTTAATCATACTGTACTTATATTGCAGTAATTATCGTGGGATATCACTGCTATCAACTTCATACAAAATTTTATTCAATATTCTTCTCTCAAGGTTAAGTCCATATATAGATGAAATTATTGGGGATCATCAGTGTGGGTTTCGACATAACAGATCAACTACAGATCAGATCTTTTGCATTCGTCAGATATTGGAGAAAAAATGGGAGTACGATGAGACAGTACATCAGCTATTCATAGACTTCAAGAAAGCCTATGGTTCAGTTAGGAGGGAAGTATTGTACAATATTCTGATAGAGTTTGAGATACCCATGAAACTAGTTAGGTTGACTGAAATGTGTTTAAACGAAACGTATAGTAAAGTCCGTGTGGGTAAATATTTGTCTGATAAATTTCCTATCCAGAATGGTCTAAAACAAGGAGATGCTTTATCGCCACTCCTTTTCAACTTTGCTTTAGGATATGCCATTATGAAGGTCCAGGGAAACCAGGTGGGACTGAAATTAAATGGGACATGTCAGTTGTTGGCCTATACCGATGATGTGATTCTACTGGGTGATAATGTAGATACCATAAAGAAAAACGCACAAACTTTAATTGAGGCAAGTAAATATAATGGTCTAGAAGTAAACCAAGAGAAAACTAAGTATATGGCGCTGTCTCGTCACCAAAATGCAGGGCAAAATTATGACATAAAGATAGGAAATAGATGTTTTGAAAATGTGGCACAGTTCAGATATTTGGGAACAACGATAACAGATCATAACCTGACTCAGGAGGAAATTAAGAGGAGATAGAACTCGGATAATGTTTGCTACTGTTCAGGTCAGAACCTTTCGTCTTGTCTGCTGTCTAGAAACATAAAAATTAGAATATAAAATCTCTAATTTTGCCTGTGGTTCAGTATGGGTGTGAAACTTGGTCTCTGACATTAAGGTTGGAACATAGACTGAGGGTGTTTGAGAACAGGGTGTTGAGGAGAATATTTGAACCGAAGAGAGATGAAGTGACAGGAGGTTGGAGAAAACTGCGTAATGTGGAGCTTCATAACTTTTACTCTTCTCCAAGTATAATTAGAATGATCAAGTCAAGGAGGATGAGATGGGCTGGGCATGTAGCACGAATGGGGGAGAGGAGGAATGCGTATAGGAAATTGATGGAAAATCTGGAAGGAAGGAGACCATTGGGAAGACCAAGACGTAGGTGGGTGAACAATATTAAAATGGATCTTAAGAGAGAGAGAATGGGATGGTATAGATTGGATTGATCTGGCTCAGGATAGGGACCAGTGGAGGGCTCTTGTGAACATGGTAATGAACCTACAGGTTACATGAAATCCTGGGAAGTTTTTGAGCAGCTTCTCAAGAAGGGCTCAGGCCCATGAGTGAGTGAGTTTACTTATAGCTGTTCGTGTATTTCAGAAGTGGGCAGCAGTGTGGAAATGAGCAATGTATTCCACCAGGATAAAAACCTTTTGACAGTTTCTCTCGTTTACTCTGAGCCACCAGCTTTAGCTTGTCATGAAGCATCCCACTGTAACATGCACTATTTATCTTCACACCCCCTTCCTGATAATATTCAAGGATTGTTGGATGCGAATTCTAGAACATTGTGAGCAGAACTTTTCCCAATATTGGTTGGGTTTTGAAATTCTTTTAAGGAGGCAACATCAGGCATTTTCTCTCCATACTCCTCATATCTGCACTCGTTTGTAATGGTGGATCCATGTTTTGTTATCAGTGCCATTGCAACTCACGAAGCTGCCACGTTCTTCATGATACTTGTTTACAGGGTGGTTACAGAAGTCAAAACAGAAATGCCAGTGCGGTTCCATCTGCACAAGCTTTATGGACCTGAAGTGGTGGATGCTTTCATAAGCAGAACTGTGACTGATCCACATTTGGTTTGCCATGTCATTGGCACATTTCTTTTCTCAAGACTTAGCATGCAGATTTAGTCACTCTCTTGTTTTGTAAGCGGTATGGTTGAGCACCCTACTTGTTCTTTGTCGTTGACACTTGTTTGGCAAGTTTTGAACAGGTCAATCTATTTCTGTCAAACTACTGTGACCATACACTCTTGATAGTCTTTTGTGAATTTCTGGACCTCTCACACTTTCATGTCTACAGAAATTCAGTCACTGAAAGCTGAATTGTGAAGGTCAAATAAGCCACTACAGTGATAGGGAGGTTCTGTGCTTGTGGATGCTTGTGCATTCAGCAATGAGGCAATTGGTGCCCTAGTAACAGTAACCAGAATTGATTCAAGATAGTTTCTGATTTACCCTCATACATGGAATTTGATTCATAATGATGTGATAAATCTCAGTTTAATAGATGTATGCAATTCAATTAAGAATCATAATCTTTTTGTTTGTTTTGTACAGAAATGAAGACTGCATTATGGAAAACTGTAGGTTTCGTAAGTGCTTTTATAGGTGTATAGTTTAAGTTCACTGTGAAAGGGAACAA